AATGAAGCCGCTGACGTCACTTCTTCTTCTTCTGCTCTGGGTTTACTGGCAGGCCGCATTGCCGCAAACAACTTCACGGCGTATACTGCCACGCGAAGTCCCCAGCCGGAAGTCCCCGGAGTTGGGTACTGGCTTCAGTAGAAGCTGCTGGGGCTCCCAGCAGCTTCTACTGAAGCCTTCCGAGTAAATCGTCAGAACGCCAACACCTCCTCATCACTACACCGCTCCCATGTTTGTTTTTTTGTTGCCATAAGCTATTCTCTCTCCGTTGGTGCGCGGGGCTAATGCTAATAATGCTAATGCCAGCAAATACAATGGCGGCTTCAAAAAACATTTCAGAGTTTTACGGGGCGTGGTTTGCAATTCGCCCAGCCAATCAGAACTGGGGCACTTTTTCCCCCAGGAGAATACCACCTCTCTAGCAGGCACTAAACATGGGGCTAAAAGTGCCCTGAACCAAGTGAACTTTTTGGTGTGAACGCAACGGGCACTGGCACTAACGGAACTAAAGGGGAAGAGTAAGGGTGAAAGTACTCCGGTGTGAACGTGGCTATTGTTGGCTCGGTACTGACTCGCTGTGTTTTATGTAGGATGCCTGTGAGAAGCTCTTTCTTTATAATACCAGGCTTAACATCAAAGGAAACGGGCCCATTCATTCCCATTGCACACAGGCTGATGTTTTCTGTAGTGTCTGGTGTCTGCACTTGCACTGGCTTAATCTCAGGAACATCATGAATAAATGCTAAAATGTCTGGATCATGTAACCTGCTATCAAAGCTTTGCATTCAGACACTAAATGCTTGGGTTTAGAAAGTGGTCATTACTCGTCTTAAATGCTCTGAGATTTAGTAAATATTAAGCTCCGGCCAAAGGAATGTCCTCAGTGACCCTGTTCTCACACAGACATGCCACAGAAACAAGCACACACTGAAGTCAAGGGGTTTATCTCGTCAGATCTCCAAAATACTCCCTGCAGCTAATTTTTCTATCCTTTCTTACAATTTGCAAGACCTATTATAAACCAGACACTATGATTAGGCCCTAAATGGTCAACCTTTGACCCTTACTTAGGAGACACAATACAGATGATGTTTAGAAAAGTAGGGAAGATTTTAGAATGTATCTTAACATCTCTGCCCCATTTCTGCTCATTCTCTTAAGTAATTTAAAAGTAATATATATAATATTCTGTAAGGCTTGGAGCTGAGCCTCAGTGCTGGAATCACATTGTGTCACCAGAGTGGATTGTTGCTGTACCAACAGAGTTATCAGAAAGCTCTCCTGCAAAGTTTCCATATGACGAGTGTATGAATGTTTACATGAAACTGTTGGCGGTAAGCATCAAACAAATGGATCCCAGATTGAGACGTTAATTATAACGTATGGAAAAACACATGATCTTTCCCATCTGACTCTGGCAGAGAGGTTAACGGAAGAATGAGTCCACGTTTATGTCTGTATGCAAAATATGAGGCTGTGTCAGCAGCAGCTAGCTAACTTAGCTTTCCAGGTATACTGGAAACTGAGGAACGGCTAGCCTGGCTCTTTCCAAAGGTAACAAAACCTAGCACCGCTGAAGCTCAATAATGAATATGTTGTTTGTTTGAGACTCCAAACAGTAACCAATAGCCCAATGTGAGAGAGCCATATAGCTATTTCTGTTAAATGCCTTTGTGCTAAGCCAAGTTTGAAGACGGTAGCTTTGTATTTAACGTTCTGGCCTCTAATTTTTGGCACTTACTATATTAAACAGGGCAGCTGATGACCAAATGTAGTTGTTATTAGATACTTTTTTTGAGCAAGCCAGGCTCTGTCCAAAGATAACCAAACATAGAACCTCTAAAGATCACTTTTTGACACGTTATATGTTTGTTTGATAGTACAGTAAAGGAAGTGTAAAACCTACAAAAAGCCATATTATCTCATACTATTTCTCAGTCAGGGGGTGTTTCTCAATGTCGAGTAAAGCTGCTCCAGAGCCACTATTTCAAGCATACTACGTCATCGAGTGCCGCCGAAGGACTGTTCCAATGTCCAGCATACTTGGAATTCTACCGAGCCCGGCGTACTTCGTAGCGAGACATTTCGAGGCTGCACATGTGTAGACTGCGCAGTCTTAAAATTCCCACAATGCTTTGCGCACGGACCAATTTCCCCAAATCTGTGGCGGAAAATGTAAGGTGGGGCCTCTCATATGATGCACACCTGCAAACTTGCTCGCCTGTTCCACTCTTCGTTTTCCGAATGCCAGGAAGTATTCTTGTCTCGCTTCTGAAGCAAGTGACTCGGAAGACATGTACTACCAAGCAAGCGTACTCGACATTGAGAAACACCCTGAGACTCCCAAACAGTAATCAGTAGCCTCATGTTACAGAGCCTTATAGCTGTTTCTGTTTCCTGCCTTTGTGCTAAGCTAAGTTAGCCTACTGTAGCTTTGTATTGAGAGTACATTTGTATGAATCCTTTAACTTTGACTCTACAGTACTTCTCTTTTTTTTGGCAAATACAGGGCAACTGATGACTAAATGCTGTTGTGCTTCGATAATTGCTTTTGACTTGACGAAGCCAAACCCACATAATAAACAGAAAATATGTTGTAAAAAAGTATGCAGTTTAACTCGGCCACACTATCAATCAATCAATCAATAGGATACGGCTGTAATAGGCCTAAGGCCTTTTAGTCGCTCATAAATAAATGAGTAAGCTGAATCATTAGAATAGTTTTCTGTGAGCCAGAGGTCAGCTGTGGATCTGTCATCCCTGTTGTCTGCAGACAGATCTTGTTCTTGCTACAGTCAGCAGACCTCCTCAAAGATGCAAATGAAATGAGCTGCACATTGGGCCTCTCCATGTAGGCCTACCAACTTACAAACACATGGACTGTTTACAAAGAACTTCGTTTAGCGAAGGATTTCTTTTAAAGGGTCTGTGGTGTGTTGTCCATCTGACTCAGCAATAGCTGCAAGAACAAAATCTGCTGCTGATCAGACAGAAGACGCCACCGAGAAAATGTGTCACTATGCTCTGACCCTAATTACTTACAGAAAGCCTTCGGTCTTCACCATTTTTTAATGGTTTCACTAATTAAGGGTAAGCCCTTCTTTGGTAGGGAAACTATTAAAGGGGGTAGAAAGAATGTGGAGTTATGGGTTATTTTTTTAGACAGTAAATGCAATGATGAACAGATGGTTTACCAAGCTAGTTTAGATCATGGCTCAATGGTAAGCTTTTGCAGCAGTGGTGAGTGAAGCAGGACTCATAAAATAAAGTGTACCTACTAAATTAATTTTAAGAGTTCGCATGAGCAGGTCATTCAGTATGTTGACCAGAGAAAAAAGATAATTTTGACTTAATACAACTTGAATTTGGTCATTTGGGCTGGTTATGATAACACTGTACTTCCCAGAGAAACATACAGCATCTGCGACTAAGATACAACAATCATGTCCATAAATGTGCTAATGATCTAATTGGTTGTAAACAAGCCACCACATTATCCAAACAATTTGAATAGTCTGTGAAAGTGATAACACATAATTGCAGTAAGTATTGGAGTATTGGAGAAGGGGCCAGGAAGTCAATCTGTAAACCTAATGGCTGCTTGGAAAGGGCAGTTTGGTCAAATTATTGTATTAAACCCTTTTCTTAAACCTTTTACACAATGAAGCCATATTACTTAATCTCAGATTTTCATTTGTTGAACATAATGCTATTACTTCAGATGAATGACGGGCAAAGCTACACATGTAACACCCACATTTTTATTTCAAGAATCATTTTAGAAAGGACCCACGGCTAGGATCCAACTGGTGAATGTAAGTCATGTGACAATCATTTGATAATTGATGTTGCTAATCTTATTTACTTATCACTCTAATGGAAATGTGTGTTGCAAAATGCAGAGAATGAGATCATAATTCCTTGGCATTACGTTCAAATATAACATTGGCCTCCCAATCTAAGGTTTATTTTTACAAATCAAAACTTGGGAGAACCTGATAAAGCCAAATATTCTTTTTGATAAGGAGTCTGGCTCAATTAAAGCCATCAAACAAGATATGACTATAAACCCAGGCAAGAGGCAACTAGGGGAACAAATAAATATTTCCATTGGCTCTCCTCCAGGTTTCCCCTCTATCTGCTCTTATGTAGGTCAGACAATTCAGCCTTTTTTGGACATATCACTTCCTTCTCAAAAGTTTAAAAAAATATTTGACACGAGAACTCCCATGCTAGACTCTTTTCATAGTCCTCAGACATGCATAAGTCATCATGTCAGTATCGCACAATTCAAAAATGTCCACCTTCTCACACACAGCTGCATTATTGCACACAGACGGGGAGAATGAATCCACGTCATCCGGTGGAAAACATCTGTAGTTGCATGACTGAAATGTTGACCGTGAAACAAATGCACGGCAAAACAGGGTTTATAGGATATGGTGAACTGTTACAAGGCCCGTTGGCCACCCATCTCCCCTACTGTATATGCTCTCACCTTCGGCTGCACATGTGAGAGCTGGAAATTAATTTGGATATTTCACAGAGAGGAAGCAGGGAAGCTGGGCATGTGTTCTGCCACATGTTTCATAGTCCACACTTCATCTGCTTCCTGTCTTTCTTCTGTTTAATTTTAATGCTGACCCTTTGGTAAAAGTTTGCTCAGCATGGGCTCTATCATTTTCTCCCTCTGGCTGTATTATAGCCTACATTTTTGGCAAAAACTATGCATTTCTTAAAGGGAAGAAAGACTTTTCAGTGCATAATATAGCATTCCCTTAAATGTTCAATAGTATTATCTTGTTATGATTTGGCGTATATAAATAGAAAGAAAAACCTTGACTTGATTTACCTTACCCCCACAAGCAAATCTACTTATTGCGGAAATTGCATTGGAATAATTTGATATGGCAGAAACATGTGTGACCGGGCCACGATATTGATATTAAATATTGATGATGATACTATTAAATCATGAAAGTAAAATGCAGTACTTGATATAACTGTACATGAATGGCTTTATTTTTGGAATAAATACACTGAAGTCCAAGACAATTACAAATGTCTGTGTAAAAAAAAAAGATTTAAAAAGTATTTACATTAGTTTTTCACAGAGCTGAATACAAATATACATAGTATACAATACAGCTCATGTAGGTCATAGGTTTCTTTTGCTGTACAAAGTGCAAAAGCTGATCAAATTAAAATGATAATCCAACTAACGCTGGATCCATCCCATAGTTGGACGTTGCACTGGACAATGTGGCCCCATTAGGAAGCAAAACAAGAATATAATAGATTACAGGATTTCAGAAAGTGTCTAGAAGAACAGCTTGGCTCAGGCTGTGGGGCCATAAACAAGGAGGTCCAGGAAAACACATACACTCTGTACAGCGTAACAGAAGGCCTGCCAGGTTTTCTTCCACTATCTGCTTTATTGTTTCATTGATAATAAATGATCTGTGGTAACTTTGCCAGACAGGCATGGCTTAGCATGGCTGAACGTGATGAACTGAGTAGACAAATGTTGTGGGGGAAATGATAAAGGACATGAAGGAAGCGATCAAACATAAGGAGCGGTGATTTAACACAGCATGTGTGTTATTGTGTGCGTGTGATATCAGGCTAAGCCCTTATTTCAGATGGGAAATGCAATGTTTGGGCCAGCCTGATGAATCACCAATATCTGTTGATTGTCTAATCGTTGCAGCTCCACATACAAAATATTTTTAAAGGGGCCCTATAATGCTCGTTTTCAGGTTCATATTTGTATTTATTGCCTCTACTGTGACATGTTTACATGCTTTATTTTTCTCATACTGCCTGTATCTCTTTTCACCCTCTGTCTGGAACCAGGCCGGCTCTGTTGCGCTTAGAGATGTCCCGCTCCTTAGCCTATCATGTACAAGTGCTAGCCAATAGGAGCGTGAGTGTTACATAGTGATGTCAAGTAAATAAAGGAGTTCAATCAAGGCGTTTCAGGTGCGGGGGGAGAGAAACTCCCTCTGGAGGGAACTTTGGAATGTAAGCCTTTGCAGACCATTTACATACAAAAAAACGTATATAATACACTACAGGAAAGGAAAACCTCAAAAAGCATAATAGGGCCTCTTTAAAATTATATAATTGCATTGTAGAAGCAATGCAGCACCAGCATAAAAGTTAAGGCTGCTTATGTACAACCATATAAATGAGGTGATACATTTCATTTCTGAATCAATTCTGGCATTTCAAAAGATTCCCTGGAAGAAAATGCCTATAAGAGCGCCCATACTATTAAATAACCAAATTGACTGTCCTTCTTTGTATGAAAAAGTGTAGGTATTATATTTTAGTTATGAAGTTAAAAAGTTATGCACGTCAATACTGATAGATTTTCTTTGGGAAAAGGAAGGGAGTCATTTTCTGGACAACCAGAAGGGTTCAATCATCTATTTGCAAGACTCAAGTAAAACTTTGAAACCTGAACAGTTAAAACATTGTGATATAAAATGGGTTCCAGACCCGTAAGGTAAACTTGATTGATTGCTTGCAAATGTGCATTCTGTATTTGCTGACAGTACACAGGATTCAACTTCATTTCATTTGACCCTCTATCATGTTATCTTGCCAAAATCAGAGTCAGACCTGGATCGTGTCTTTAAAAAGTCAAGAGTGATGGCAGTGAAACAAATCTTCCAGCAATTATCCTGCGGATTTCACTCTCCTTCCAATATTCTTTTGGTTCTTCCAAGCAAGTGTCCCATGATGCAGGTGGAACAATCTGCACCCGACAGACACAGCATGTGTTATATTGCAGGTGGATTCAATTCAGTCAATTTAAAAAAGAACAAAGATTTGTAGTTTATACTTTTTCAAGTCACTAGCAAGGCCTTAGGTTACAGAAGTCCAGCTCCTGTGGCTTGCGTAAGCCAATGCAGTGGTCTCTTTGGAGCAGATGCCCATTTTGGGTTGTGCAGTGCAACGGCCTTCTCTTGAAGCCCTTCCCACAGGTTCTGGAGCAAGGTGACCACAGGCCAATATGCCACTCAGGACAGGGGTCTCCACAAACCCTAGTGGCTGGGGGTCTTTGTGAAGGATCACAGTCCAGCCCTGGCTTCCCGTCCAGTCTGAGACACTGCACCATCCTCCTCTGCATCCCATTACCGCAGGTCACTGAGCACTGATCCCAGCCCGAGGATATCCACTTCCCAAGAGCGGGATCCTCTTTGCTATAAGACTTCTTCAGGGTGTCTCCCCCTTTCTTCTTGACACTATCCTCAGCCAGGACGCTGTTATGGGAGCTAACACGTCCGTCCTTCTTGAGAGCTTTGTCCTCCTTGATCTGCCGGGCGAGGTAGAAGGAGTAGCGGATTCGAGGCGGCGTCATCTGGCCGACACACAGCACCTCCGCAGTCAGGGATTCCCCCAAAGGCTTCACGGCCGTCAGGGTCTCTGAGAGGCCGGCTGTTCCACTGTAGCGCATCAGGCTTCCCTTCACGATGAGGTCCCTCTCTCCAGCTGACACTACGTACTTCCCGTTGAGCAGGTAGTGGCCCTCGCTGTTCTTAAGCGCCAGATAGTTGTCATCACTCCTCATTCCCTTGTAGCCTCGCTGACGGATGTCTATGTTGGCTGCACCCACTGGTAATATGACCACAAAGTTGTAGCCATGCCTGCATGCCAAAACATATTACAGTCAATGAGAGCTTATAATGTTGAGGATGAAATTGCTATCATACAACAACGTATTGGGGCCATTGTAGGCAGAAAAAAGGGGGGTAATCTTCCATAGGAACCCTATGAAGGTTTCCCGAGATTAAAGTCATGAATTTGTTAGAAAAAAACGTTGTGTTTTTGGTCAAGGAACCACATTGCTTCACTTTGTAAGGCTGGATATACACCATTACACCACAGATGTTGCTGTGTGTAGTGCCTGCAGTTGATGAGCAATTGTTTCTTGCCTTGCAAATGTATTAATTTATAATCTTAGGGAATATCCCAATTTTTCATAATTGTCCCCTTCCTTGGCTCTGTCATTTTAGGTTCTATCTCCAATGACCCTATTAAGGCATTGAGTTGTACTGTAATATTTAATGACAGAAGTAATATCTCATGATGACGTGGATTCTACTCACTGAGGCTTTGTGAAGAGTCCCGACACCTTCTTGCAGCCCTTGCTATCACCACCGCAGATTCCACACTTATCAAACTTCTTGTTGGAGCCAATTGTTCCATCGCAGCCCGCCTTGATGCACTTTCCTTGGACACACACTCCAGTGGAATCTGGAGAGCATGGAGTCCCGTCCACAACCTGGAGTGAAAAGAGACTATAAGGTTAAGAGCATTCAACACTGAACCTTTTTAACAACAGGATTTCTGTTACAGTCCATCGGAATTGACTTTGCTTTAAACCTTTATCTCAAGTTATTAAGCATATATATTGTTCTCACGCTATCCCTTTTGGATAGGATTGGATTGGCATGCAACTTGGCACACTTTTTCAAATGTATTTAGTGTCGTATGTCTATATTTTTCAGTTTTTGTAGTAGATTTGTATGTCATAGAGTATTTTAATTTAATCAGTATTTTTATATTGTGTATTATTTGGATACTCCATGTAGCTTTTTGACTGTTGTATATATTTGCTTTTTGTTTACCTTTCATTATATTTTCATGTTATTATATTTTAAACTCTTGCGTAGTACCTGTTGACTTTCTGCTGCTGTGACAATTTGGGGTGAATAAAGTATATCTAATCTAATCTTAGCCAATCTAAAATACCTTTGTATGAATACTTTGTGATTGTTTTAAAACATGAACTGCAGCCATTATATAACTGCTTTTAAATCCCTCACCACATGTACTGAAAACAGTACTCTTAACATCTGTTTTCAAGATTGCAAAGCAAGCAGACAAAATACATGTTCAAAATATTTCTCAAGAATGTGCGAGTTACAGACAGAACAAATCAATAATGAACACGGGTACCGGGATGACGTATGTTCTGTGGACGACAGTATCTGAAGTGAGGCTGTCAGCTAAATCAGCCTCACTGCGTCTGCGAATATCTGACTGATAACAAGTTCTCTGAAAGCGATTGTGAACTCCAATGACGCGGACATTTTTCCACCCTGAGATTTATCTGGCCCCAAATGAGCCAAACTCCAGCTCATGAAACAAAACTGCACACATTACTGTAAACCCATTTTTGGATTAAAGTCATGACTCTGTGGTTAAAACATCCAGCTGCTCCGTGATTCAGAGCTACGTGTCCCCTGTGCACTCTTATCTACTCCTCCTTAGCCGGTATGATGGAGTGAAGTGTGAAGTAACTCGGCCTCACCGCTGCTAAAGCTCACTCTACACCCTGCTATCGGAAAGAAATAAACTGGCCTCCTCCTCTCCTCCATTCCTGCCTTCACTCTTCGAGACCAGAGGCAGCTGGCTGATATACATTATATCCCCATTCCTCTATATTTTCCTCATATATCAAAAACCTTTATTTATTCAGACATTTTTGTCAAATCACCAAAGAAATACTCTTAACTTTAAAAGAGGACATTTGTTGTCTCCATGCCTTAATGTTCAAAAAGCTCTATATTTTGCTCATACTGCCTGTGCTGCAGCACCTCTTTTAACCCTCTGTCTGAAACCAGAGCCCAGTCTGCTCTGATTGGTTAGCTGGCCGGCTCTGTTGTGATTGGTCTACCACTTAGAGATGTCCCGTCCCTTATCAAATCACGTTCAATGGCGTTTCAGATAGTTGGGGATGAGTGTGTGTCTGTAGAGGGAACTTTGGGATTTTGGCCTTAGCAGAACATTTACATGCGCACACGCCTATTTAACAGACTACAGGAAAGGGGAAACCCACAACATCATGATAGGCCGGGCCTCTGTGATATTTGTTCAGGAAAAGTGGAATACACTTGATCGTTTACCTTGGGTGCCAGGACATAGAAGTAGCCGCTGCCGTTCGTCCTGCAGATGAGTTTACACCTGTCGTCGGTGGACACTCCAGAGTATTTGGGCAGCCACACCGAAGCGGGGTCGATGCGGTTACTGATGAAGGTACGGCCCATGGTCGCACACTGCTCCTCGCGGAATGTGTGTCCTATACAGAGTGATGGGAGGGAGGATGCAGGAGGTTAGGGGTGGGAACGCACTAGTGGGAAAAATGTTATTGGACACATTTATCTGTTATGATTGTCTCATACCTGTATCAGGGCAGCGGTTCAGGTTGCAGGAGCGGTATTTGACCCGAACCCCTTGGCAGTATTTGCCCCCATTTGATGGTACTGGGCTGTTGCACTCTCTTTTAGACAGCTGGACGCCCCCTCCACATGTGCGTGAGCAGGAACCAAACGGGCCCCACCTACCCCAGCGGCCATCCACCTGGAAAGACACAATACAGTTGGATTTATGCACAACGTATAACAAAAAAAGCTGAACTTAATCACATCACAGTTAAGGTTGCATTTACTCCAAATCACACGTAGCGTTTGTGTCGTTGTGTCACTTTATTCTCAATCTTTCAGTTTGTGTGTACAGACAGAGAGATCGAAATACCGTTTTCCACAATCCCGAATGTAATGGTCCATTTCAATGACACTCATTTGATTGACTTAATAATTGAAATGACCCATTGATTGCAGATAAACAAACGCCAATCATATAGAGTCTTACCTTCACATTATAATAGTGTTTGTCCGAGCAGACCCCTCTGTCGCAGACCTTACTTTCCCCACAGCTGGTGCCATCTGCCCAGGGGAAGTGCCGGGTCATACACACCAAATGGCCATTGGATTTTCCGGTGCACCACAGACGGCCACATGGTGGTTGCATAAAGGGACACGGCTTGGAGTTTTCTCCGAACGCAAGCTCACACTGACGATCCAGGACGTAGGATGTTCCCGGCAGTATGACGGGGAAGACCAACGGTTTCTGAGGCTGGTCGAGCAAACATTCACCTAGAAGATGGAAACTCAGTGAGCGACACAAAGTAGCAATACCGACCATCATCTATGGTTTGACTGCTTTGTTTTACCTAACTTTGATTAAATGAAGTGCTAACATTTCACCCATATATGACCGCCAAACCGTAAAAAAATCTAACCTACAATTATGCATCAGTATTTCCACTTTGTGTGTGTTGTGGGTGGGTGGGATTGTGGGTTGGAGGCTGTAAGCAACCATTGCCCTTGTGATTTTGGCTCTTTGAAGTGGAAGTACAGCTTGATGCAGCGCTTGCCACATACCGAACACAGACGCATAACACACACATGCATGCCCATCCCAGACTCGAACTAAAAACCCACAAGCTCATCTTCCCATGTTTGATCCAATCCAGGGTTAAACGGTCTGCTAAAATCTCAGACTTGTAGTTCTGAGTTTTAAACCAAAATGACATGTGGCAAGCAAGCAGTTCAGAGGTCAAAGGCATGGCCTCCATCTACTATAAATAGCACAAAGAAACCGTTCCTGGAACAGGCTATAAATAGGAAGACTTTGACGAGCAGGTGCCTGGAGACATGAAAGATCAACGTCAGGGAACCTCAAGCTTTCCAGGAGGAGTTTCTATCACACAGCTTCTCATCCTTATGGGGAATTTACACTTCCAAAACAAGTCTTCTGCACTGGGGGAAAAATGGGTGCTTGCTTTGAACCGTTTATTACACCATTCATGTTGCGGTGAATTCACAACAGATAATAAGGCAGTGAGTGAGCTTTAACTGGTGGCACATTTGGCAGAATAAACGCACCGATTAACTGATTATAAGCAATGGTACATAAACAAGTCACTCAACACTGAAGAGGCAAAACTTCAGCGCTTCCTTCCTACTCTCTCACCAGAGAGCAATTATCGAAAACAATAGCTGGCAATGTCTGTGTGTGGAGAAATGAACAGGTTACAAATAATTTGGGGCGTAGCACAGCATGAAAACTGCCTTGAACATGTGCCAACTTGTTTTTTCCCCTCTCCATTGCTTTTTAAGTCAAGATTTATGACAGGCAGCCGGGAGAAGCCAAGTTATAACATTGCTAGATAGAAATCACTCCTTGTCAAGTCAAAAATGTTCGTCTGTGTTCACTCTAAACCAGTTCTTTTGTCCTCAGACAATCTCTTGAAAAGACACAAAGGAGCAAAAAGTTTGTTTATTTGGAGTAAACCTGCATGGGAAACACTGGGCAGATACACCTCTTACTCCAAACCACTGTGGCGACTCTCCCCAGTAAAGCCCTCTAAATTTGGACAGATGTGGGGGCAGTCTTTAAAATAAACGTTTAGCATTGCTCCAAGGCCAAGTCCTGTGGTCTGGACTGCTTGGCAAACAATCTGCATCCAACTGAATGCATTTCTATTTGGCTTTTGCCATCCCTTTCTATGAGCATGGTGCTATACAAGGTTAGGCACGTGTCTCATTTTAAGTTAGACTGATGACTGTAGTTATATTACAAATCAAGAGGCTGTTAAACCACAAATATTGAGTAAAAACCAGCAAATGTCAAAAGAAAAGTCTGTCCCTCTTAAGCATGGAGGGAATATCCTGATCCACTGGCAAACAGAACCATGGAAGATAAGATAAGATGCGATGGACCGAATACGATGCAGAGAAAAGGCTCTGATTAGATGAATAATTCAATGTGTATGTTGTATTCTAATGTAATCAACACCTAACTAGATGTTCGTTTAAAGTTGTTGCAGCAGGACTACGGACTCCTTTTTAAAAACCTGGCGCATACATTACCCACAATGCAACTCGTCTGCTAGTGTGTTGTGCTAATAGTGGCTAATGTAGCCTTGAGGTGCTAGCCTGAAACAGATATGAGTAGCTGGATACAGAAATGTGATAAAATCGCTTTGCACTCAACACAAGATTGTGTTCATTTTCCAACTCGAAGTCTTCAACCAAAAAAAAGATGACTTAAAGGTGGGGTAGGTAAGTTTGAGAAACCGGCTCGAGATACACTTTTTGTTATATTCCATGGAATGCTCTTAACATCCCGATAGCAATGAATATCTTAAGTGCTTTGACAATAAATACATTAAAAAATGTCATCTGTGGAAGCCGTGGTGCTGTAAAAAGCACGACCAATCATTTGAGCCGGCCCGGCTAAAATAACTGGATGGCCTACCTGCCTGTCAGCCTTCCATCTGGGCACAAACTTATCTCGTGCCCTCATTGGTCATGTGCGCGTTCGTGTGTGTTGGAGGAGGGCAGATTTCTTCCGGCTGTGTATTTTCAAATTCTAGCGCACTCGAGCTGGTTTCTCCAAAATTACCTACCCCACCTTTAAGTGACATCCCTTGAGTCAGTTAGACAGACTTCACACAGCTTCATCTGGACCAACAAAAGGCTTTAAACAACTTTCTTTCACATATGCTATGGTACTCCTTAAAATGTATAAACAGACTTTGATGTGTAAAATGTGTAACGTTACTCTCAGTAGTTTGTGCTGTCCTGGCTTCACACCCCTTTAAACACACTATGAGGCAGTTAAACACAGAGGTCAGGGGTCGTGGTAACTCACCGTGTCCGCTGTCCAGGAATTCAGTGATGATGGCAGAACTGCAGGGGGACCAGGGGCTGGTGCGGTTGATCTGAATGAGAGTGGGGGACATCATGTGGTTGTCTTGTAGTTTCCCAAACACGTCCTCACAGGCCTTCACATTGTCGTGTGGCATGTTGAACACATGTCCTGCAGAGAGGGAACGTGAGGTCAGGTGGGAAAAACAAAAGTACTCTTATCTCAAACACAAAAGGAAATGTTTGTGTATGAAATGATGAGTGGCGTTGGCTTACCGAGCTCATGAGCCGTGGTGAAGGCTGAAGGTAGGCCGTCGTCTTCGATCACAGAGCAGCTCCTCTTTGGGTCGCACATGGTGCCGACATCCGCCATACCAAGAGTGTCACAGGTGGAGGCGCCACACAGATCCTGGATTAAATGAAATACATTTAGCATTAGTACATTTGAGGTCGTCAGAGCTAGAAAACAAGCCAGACGTTTGAGTCGTGTAGCCTTGGCCATCATTTGTATGTATTAATATACCACTGAGTTTGTTTGTCTGATCTTTTGACTCTTCCTGTTTCTTTCCCTGTCTGACTTTTAGTGATGTCATCTTGTCTCTGGTCCTCAGCAATTAACTTGGTGAGTACAACGTTACTGTATCTACAAATAAAAACAAGCGCCAAAACTACAAACCAGAGTTGTAGCTGGAATTATCCTTTTTGGGTTGTCTTGTCATTACAGTAAAGTTTGTTTTCTACGGAAAGATGCAACAGTGTTAAGCCAGGCTTTCCACCGCCCACTCTTGTTAGTGGTCAGCAGTGTTTAGAGCACACCTTCTTCTATGAGCTAAAGTAGCTGTCCCCAATCATAACATTTCCAAGCCAGGGCAGAGTTTCCAGATGACCTATTTCTCCGCCACAAGGATTTAAAAAAAAAAAAACCCAGTCTAAGCGAGTATCCATTTAGAGCTGAACCTCCTAATCACAGGACAACCTCTGCACAAACCGCCACAGAGAACCGCCCATCTGCCCGGCTCCTACACAGCTACATACCCCGGAAACACAGAAAACCAACAGTGGTCGGCTATTAGAGATAACAGCTTTGGGTTGATGCCGCTCAGCTCCTGCTCTCCTCCCCTGCACTGGATGTACACATTGAACACATTGCCAAGTGAAGACCTCGAGCGCTATGACAAATCATTCCTAGAATAAACCACAAAACCGCAATTGTTGGCCAGCGCAAATCCAGAACAGATGTGCTCATGTGTGCAGACGAAATGAGAACGCTTGGGCCATTTATGAGCAAAAAATAAAAACTGCAAGACGAGCAAAGGAGAAGGAACAGCAGTGTCAAAGAGTTTGTTCTCGGCTTGACCTCATTCCCACATTTGTCAACTATCTTTGTGTTTTTTGTGTGTTTAAGAAAACAAACATATGCAATCCTCAGCAAATACATTTCTTTCTTTTATTTTGAGTAGTTATTTTAATGCATTTAAATTTGTGTGCATCACTCGTAACTGCCATGTTGCATGAGTTTTAGTTTAGTTATTACTTTTAAAACAAAAGTCTAGGAGTGGAAAAAAAGCTCTGATACTCAGCAGTATCACACACATAGTTTACGACATCCGGCCACACTTGGGTGCCCTCTTTGCTTTCTCAAACTATTATCTATCTTGCAAATAAAGGCAAACACGCTGTGAGCTAAAGTGCAACCACCCCCCTCTCTCCCAGGGGAGACATAAATACGTCAGATTTACAGTTCGTTTTTTGGTCTTTCGTTAGACACTGTGTATGTTCGCATACAATAAACTTTCCGTAATGAACTGAGTAAAATTGTAAAAGAGTTTAAAGACATTGCAGTTGCCTCTGGACAACACCGAGTTGGTCTTCATAAAACCTGCAAATTACACTGAGGGCTGGTAAAAGGCAGACAAGCGGTAAATGCCGCTTGAATTAAATGGTCAACTCAAAAACAACACCACTGATTAAACATAGTACCGACGCCCTATCAGCAGCTTAAGTGTAAACTATTATTAATAAGTACCTACAAGGGTAAATGTGTCCGTGTGCTGCAGGCCTGAATGAAACAAGGTTTAGTAAAGAAAATCAGATGTTATCAAATAAGACCAGGCAGTTTTACATGTAATTTCATAATGATATTCATTCGGCCTCACTTTTAAATTGAAGTATTTGAGGTATTCAGATTCTGGCTGTTGAATACATTCGGATTGAATACTATAGATGAAAGTGAAATATCAGTGCAGGCAAATATGCTACAGATTTATACTGTTGTACCGAGACTAGGTCAAAAACATAAATAAGTACTGTCCCATGCATGTGTTGGGAAAGTAAGAAATGCAGTACAAGTTTCCAAAATACAACTAATCTCTAAACTATCTCTTAAACCAAACCTGTGTGATCTTCTTATAAAAAATAATTTAGCCTCCACGAGTTGTTTTGAGCCTCCCAATTTGAAATCCTCTGACCTAATCAAAAATGGTGTTTGATGGATTATGTTGATCTATTGTTTGGTGTGCACTATAAATGCTGCTCTGTGTATACTGTTACAGTGTTACCCAAATATAGCCTTTTAATTTGAATGGCACGAGGGGTATGGGCCACATTTCTTTTGGATTGACTCCTCCTGGCACAAGCAGCGTCTTTAGAAATACAGAACTTTTTACAGCAGGTCACACTTATTCAGTTTCAATATAATTTTAACCCAAACAATGACTACATCCCTTGACGTATGTCTTTCTGCTTTATACTGCACATTATAGCCATGTGACTCACTGTAGTTGAATGCGGTCATCTCAACTGGCAACAGGGCTTATAACATCAACTCTGCACGTGGCGCTTACCAAAATCTGGTAACACCCTGGATTTTGTAGCTTTATGGAAAATACAGCCCATCTTTGAGGTGTCATGGCCTAAATGGAAAGAGCATACTGTGCACACAAAGGGGTGTAAAGCAGGAAGAATAAGAGAGAGAGGAAGGGTGTGAAGAATGTATTAAAAACATGCAACTGTGCAGGCTAACTGCAGTTTGTGTAAGACTTTGGGAGAGCAGGTATGCATGCAGGTCCCTGTATATGTGACACAGAGGGACCTCCCCCCTCCTACATCACTCCCCCGCTCCCTCCATCTCTCCCTTCAGGGGACTGTTTAATGAGGAACAGGGAAGGAGGTGGGTAGGGCTGGAAAACCCACAGCTGGAGGAAGAATGGGAAAGGCTGAAAGAAATGAGAGACTTCCCACTAACGCATCTCTGGTGGAAGTAAAGCTTGGCAAAGTTACAGTGAAAACATTTGTTTGAGGTCTGATACGATCATGTGTCCGGTGATGTTAGTGACATGGGCCAAAGGTAATTCAGCACCTTATTTGTTACTTTTGACTCCTTAATTCTAGTCCTTTGAGACTCTAACTTCATCACCTTTGACTGCAAACTGAACTATATCCAAACACAATAATTTTCAGTAATTCATCTGCTGATCTGTCAACTTTATCCCCAGTGTTCTGCGTCTAAGTGAAAGCAAAGTTGCCCATGTCCAAAAGCAGACAGTTCATGAGAACATTGTGTTGCACACTGACCAATGATTTTGATCTGACTTCATCTCTGACCCTGCGTCATCTGCCAAATATTTGGGAGTGCAGAGAGAAATTGGAGGTGGGTTCCAAGTCTATAAAACTGGCCTCTAAGGATCCATGAAGTGCAATCAGGGCTATTTCTCTGTTCAGCCCTATCATTTCCTCAGTGACCCAGCCTCAGTGTCAAAGCTGTGATGTTATTGGTGGACTGGATATTCTGTTCTCTGAGTTCACCAGAGGTGGAGAGAGTGTTTTGAGAGCAAACCAATTACCTGACACAGCAGGAGTTTTTGGGGGGGAGCATGTCATGTAAAGTACAGTTTATAACGAAACTTAAACATGTTTTATGTACAAAAAATGATGTTTAAGTCAATATCATGGCCTCAATATTTTTTGAAGATTTAAAGATAAATATCCTCAAAATAAAGAATGTCTGTGCGTAATTACGCTTACTTAAAAACCACATCACCACACCTTTGTTATCTTAAACCCTGCAGGATGAATCACTTTACCTGTCTAGTGAAAAGGATGGCTGTGTCCCAGTAGTCTGAATGCTTGTCGTTGTTTTTGTTCATCTTTTTTTGCCAAGTGCAAAAGTTTCGCAGCGTCATGGCTGCGTTCCCGGACACCTTGGGTCCTTTGTCCTCCTCGGATATAATCACGATCTTCACTACTACGATGCTGATGGAGTTGAGAATACTGGGGTGCCTGTAGAGCCTCGCTGCCACTGCCATAAGTGTCAGGATGTAGTGTTTTAGGTCATCTCCGTGGAACTGAGCCATGGACTCGTCGGCCACCACGAGCGTCTCCACGTACCTGGGGATGGAGGCGAAACGTTTGGCTCTCCCCATCCTCTTCAGCAACGTTTCGGTCGAATTGTTGTCATCTTTTAGTCGCTTGTATTTCTCCAGCGATTGTGCCACTTGGAGACTTATGTCACTGTCTACTGCGCACCTGGAGGTCGAGTTGAGCTTCAGGTTGTTGCTGGCTCTGCGCCGGATGATGTGCGCACCTTCTGCGCTTGTGGTGTCATTTTGCACCGGGCTGATAAAATATTCCCAGCCATGGAAGCCAAATGCACCTTGTAAACCCTTACAAAGGCTTACAGCAGCGTAAGAATGCGGGTCGTCATTCACGTATCCTGAGTAAAAACACCGGCTCAGGTCAGTGGTTACATCGCTGTTGGAGAGCCAGAACGCGTCTTGGTTAGAAATGGAAGGGGCAATAAAGTTAGAGTCCTGGTGCAAATCGATCACTAATTCCTGCCGGAAAGCTCGTATTTTTAACACATGTTTTCCATTCAGGATATCTACGTCATTGTCAAAATCCTTCCTGTCATGGTTTTGGTTATCCAATCTAATAGGGAAGCAAAGTTCACTTTCCATGCACCGAACAAGTTTTGAGAACGAGAGCGCAAGGTAGAGGAGAAAAGTTGTCCTGATAAACATGACGATGTTTGTATTCAATAAAGAATGCAATGACCATCAGAGAAAGCAAAACGATATGAAATGTGCAAGCTCAGTGGAAGCGGTGTCAAACACAGAACAGGATGAAGAGCATAATCCAGAGCGCAGGACTCTAAAACAATGCAGGTCGTACAAGTCCACTCAGTGCAAACTCCTCCTGGTCATGACCCATTCCCATTCTCCACCTGTGTGTGCTGAGTCGACTGCTGCCTTCTCTGGACTTTATGCATTCTCGTCATGTGTAAAAAAATATGGAAACTGAATCTCTCTTTTGGAGGGGGGCAGTCTTTGGAGGCGCTCATTGGACGCGCGTCTCAGCTCGAGACTTTTTCTGCGGCCACTTGAGACTCAGCAAACAGCAGGCCTATCATCGTGTCCCAACACACTGATTCATTATCACATCTCCAACTTCCAGGGGCACATGCGTAACTGACTCCACTTGACCTGCAGGAGTCCATCAAATCATAATTAAATGAGCCCTTTTGACCACATTGAAGAGATGCAATTATTAAAAGGAGTTTTGTTAATAAGAGCAGTAGACTTTGAATATAGCCTAACAATAAAAAGAATGATGCTATAAATAATTCGATTGCATGTTAACTGATCAATGGGCTGCAGAAATATAACATAGATGTTAACATAAAGTTACTATAACAATGCATCTGAAGTGTTAGATGAATATAAGGCTGATATAATTTATTATCAGCTTTCATATCATGCAGTCAGAGCTGTTTCTGTGCAGAGTGCGACATCTGGTGGATTACAGAGTAACTGGGCTTCTTCCAGGCTACATACAAATGAATGATTATTGCTCCAATATCTGTATTTTGGTAAACATTTTGAGTAGGCTACTGATAGTGCAAATGTATACCCAACTATTTACTTTTGTACTTGGGATAAATAAATACACTTATCAATATGAAGTTATTTCAAGGAAAACATCCGCATTTAAGCTTGATAATCTTATATTCCCATATAGGCCTACCAATACATGTAGGCTACTCATGTTTGAATTGTATTACTTGTTACACTCAATGTGATATTACATAGCCTAGTTTTGCACAATCATCTTGAATTCTTTCTAAATGTAGGACTGTTGGAGATATGTTGTGTAAACTTATATTGTGTAACACGGTAAATATTGCCAAGGTGTCAAGTGAGTGAGATTTATATTCCAAAGTAACTGGTACAATTAATAAAATAAAGAGAAAAGCAGTATTGTTTTTGTTGTCCAGTTTCCGTTGCCAGGAACGCAAATGTGGTTGCTAGGCGAAGGACCCTTGCTTGTGGGTTGTCCAAAGTAGAGCCAGTTTTGACTTAGATATTTCAATTTTAAATACTTTTGAATAGAGCAAGTTGTTGGTAAAATACGTATCCTAAACACCACGCGTAAACATACCGTGCATATATATGTGTGGAAAGTCAAACTTATGTAGGTTTTTTGTTACTTTTGTGAAACGGCAGTTAGACTTGGTCTCCAGCGGTTTGTGTTGTCGCTACATCCAAAAAGTAGAGGAGGTAGCCTACACTAAAGTAAAGCTCGAAGTTAACGGTAGAATTCACAACTGGCTGCTAGCTAAAGTTGTGACTTATAAAGTTAAATGTGTTGGACTACCGTTTGTTTTGTTTGTAAGGAATGGAAAACCTCGTGTTCAGCCCTAACACATAACTTACCGAAGAACCGTGTCTGTGGTTAGCCTCCTGCCGTTCACCGTCGAGATGAACTCGTATCACGTTTTGGAGCTAGCTGGAGAGGGCTCCTTTGGTCGTGTTTACAAGGGGAGGAAAAAATATACAGGCCAGGTAAGTCACCTCTGTTGGAACAGTTTGATAGCTGTGTAACTGGTCTGCAGGGGGGAGAAGTATTGCGATGCTCTACTTGAGTAAAAGTACCAATACATTATTGTCAAAGTACTTAATTACATGCAAAAGTCCTCAATTCAAAATGTTACTTAAGTAAAAGTACAAAAGTGTTAGCAGCAACATGTGCTTAAAGTCATCATTGTGCAGAAAAATTACTTTGTTGTGCTTATACAATTATATGTGTGATTTTCAGATAATATTGTTGCATCAAGTAGCATTTTGTTGTTGAAGACAAACAAAGTTCTGATTGACTTTATGTAACATTTGTAAATAATTAGACTCTAGTCTTTGTGACTTGGAGTTATTAGTCCACTAGTTACATTTCTAGAGATGCATTTTGCTGTTAAATACATTTAGCGGAGTAAAATAACATTATTAACCTTTTTTAAATGTAGTGGATTAGTAGTGTAAAGTAGCATTCAATGGAAATACTGAAATGAAGTACAAGTACCTCAACATTGTAGTTAAATATAGTATTTGAGTAAATGTTACTTCCCACCTCTGCTTGTTTTTTGATCCATGCCTTTAACTGTCTGTTTGTGTCCATCAGGTGGTGGCTCTGAAGTTCATGCCTAAGGTGGGTCGCTCTGAGAAGGAGCTACAGAGTCTCAAAAGAGAGATTGACATCATGAGAGGTCTTGAACATCCAAATATTGTTCAACTCTTTGACAGCTTTGAGACTCAAACTGAGGTAAGTTCAACATAAGCTTTTGTTTCACATGGCACCAAAGTTCCCAACACATTATTGGACCTAACAAACTATGTATCTTTTTATCTGAGGTCATTCCCATAACAGTAATCCAGGGGTAATTCTTGCATTCATATATATTTTTTGAAATATAAAAACAGTCATTAAAAAGCCCATAACTGATCTTTCTTTTAAAATCTTAATTTGGAAATTAACACATTTCTTGACTTAACATATTAGGTAAATTAGCTCCATATTGAAACCAGGCCTATATGGCAGTTAATAAGCTATCTTCCTGCATTTAATAGCTGCTAATGGATTTGAGTTGTTACTGCATTGGTTACATTTGAAAGAGTTATTACAAATGTAAACATCTGCAACCTCCTCCATCATCACAGAGCTTTTATAACCTTGTAATCTCATACTACAAAGAACTGCATGAAATTTGAGATGTATTAGTGAGAAGCCACATTTATGAACCATAGTCATCCTCTTTGCTGCGGGACCTTTGCGTATAGTAGCACACTTGCACACTATCCTGCCAGCTTAAGCTTCAGTATTGCCTTATATGTTTGTGACAGGTTGTGGTTGTAACTGAATATGCAGAGGGTCAGTTGTTCCAGATTCTCGAGGATGATGGGAAATTACCAGAGAGCCAGGTAGCCATTTTTTTGTGGAAAGAGTTAAGCCATACATCAGACTTATTGTGCTTTCTCATGATCAACATGAGCTCATTGTTCCCTTCTTCCAAGGTCCGTGAGATCGCCTGCCAGCTGGTCTCTGCTCTGTATTATTTACACTCCCATCGCATTCTTCATCGTGACATGAAACCTCAAAATATTCTGTTAGGGAAAACCGGAGTGGTGAAACTCTGCGACTTTGGGTAGGTGGACCCTGATGATTATTTGAAAGAAAAAACGTTGTGGTTCAATTTTAACAAGCATAAACTTCATGTGATGCTGTAGGTTTGCGAGGTCCATGAGCGTCTCCACCCTGGTGCTGACTTCTATCAAGGGAACTCCGCTGTACATGTCTCCTGAGCTGGTGGAGGAGAAGCCGTACGACCACACTGCCGACCTGTGGTCTCTGGGCTGCATCCTGTATGAACTCCACACGGGGGCGCCTCCGTTCTTCACTAACTCCATCTTCCACCTGGTGCAGCTCATAGTGCGAGACCCCGTCAAATGGCCCGACACTATGAGCGACACCTGCACGGTATAGTACAGCCACAGCCTGTTGTGGTGTGACATGTTTGTATCAATCCAATCCAATCCAACTATATTCATGTAGCACATTTAAAAACAACAGAGTTGACCAAAGTGCTGTACATCAATACATATATAAAAAGCAGCATAAATACATTTAGAAAAAAACGATTGGACAAAAAAACTAATGTAAAAGCACGAGACACTAAAACCATACAGACTGAAAAACTCTCCTACACGATGTAAAAACATTTTAAAACACAACAAAATAGGAAACACAGACTGATACGTGGTCTGCAAAAGCACGGGAGAACAAGTAGGTCTTTAAACGAGATTTAAAAACAGGCGAAGTGGGAGCAAGGCCAACATCCGCACTTTAGAAAGTGTTGATTTTAGATGCAAGCTGATTCAACAGTGAAAAGTGAAAACCTTCATTACATCTTAGCCAGGGAGCCTGTGCTTAAGGACAGGACCATGAAAGCAATTTTAGATTTAGAACAACTCTAAGTCTTAAATATATCCCTTTTTAATCTTTTTTGGCTTAAAGGTATGACATGTAACATTTCCGCGTAAAATGTCTTAAAACAACTACACCTATCTTATATACTTTTTAGATTTCTCTGCGTGCATTATTTAAAATATTTCGATACCCACAACAAAAATCTGTACATTTTTATGCAGGTAGTGGTCCGTTCCTTTTGGTCGCCTGTCGCATCCCCTTTAAACATGCCACAGCTTTTTACTTGTCTCCCAGAGGCTGTCGATAATTAGCTTTCATCCAGTTTAACGCCAGAATTGTCTTGGTTGTTTAACTATATATTTGAACGGCATGAAGGACCATCTGGATCTGTCTGGATCTCAAGTTAACAGAGAAACAACAACATTATTTGGGGCTAGCATGTAGCCCCTGGACATTGGAGAAACAGTCATTTGTCTTTGTCAAACATTTAGTTGAGTCTTTCTTTCCTTTAATGACAATGTGAATAAGTTATCTTAACCACAATGCTTACCTCATCATTCCTTTACAGAGTTTCCTGAAAGGTTTGTTGACCAAAGACCCTCAGAAGCGGTTATCATGGCCAGACCTCCTGCACCATCCCTTTGTTGCTGATGATGTTTTAGGTAATATAAATGTCCAAATATAAATTAAACACATTTTCTTTTTTTAATTATTTTCCTGTCTGATTTTAACAGTTTTATTCCCATGTTGCTGTGTTGGCTGAAGT